AGAGTTTTGCTATATTGGTTGGTAGATGCATGAAAAAAGAATTTTTCGCAAAATATGGATAGGGTTGCTATGAAGTCCGGGATGCGTTTAAATAGTAACTCTCCAACTATTCCAGATAGCATGAAAAAGTCAATACCATTAGAATCTATGACTTTCAAAGTATTTTTTTGCATGCACCAAAGCGTCATAGATCAACATATCCGCCATCCTGGGCAATGCAGTGTTCGAATTTAGTCTGCAAGGATTGCAAGGATTTGGAAGAATGGAGCGGATGTGCAAATCTCTGAATCCATTTTCTCCGGGAATGTTTAATTCTTTCAGATAGATCAAAAGGGCTGCTACTGAGAAAAAAAAAATTGTGTGGTGTTAGCTGAACTAAAATATTCTCGGGACGTCAGGGAATTTTTTTAATAAAAAAGGGTGAAATGGATTTAGGCGACGATGGCACCATCCATTCCGAATATTGTCAGGTTCCCCTATGCGACGATATGGGTAAGGAGGCACAACTGTATTGTTTTATAAGGGGGTTTGTGTGGGAGTGGAAAGAGAAATCAACTCCTCTCAAAGCGTGCTTTGTATAAGCTGTCCAAGCGGGACATAATAAGTCAATAGTCCTAAAAATAATGCAAAAAATACGTAAAAATACTTGGCGAATAAATATTTGGCGAAATGTTCAATAACTAAAATGTTTCCAACCTCAATTCAAAGACAAAGTGCAACTAATTAATCCCATCAGAAAAGCTATTAATGCCACTGGAGTGCTCTCTTCAGTCCATTTTTTCATATTTTTTAGCTCTTTCGATTCAAATCACTATGAGATGCGACAATGAAACCGTGAGGTGGATTGAACGAATTGGAGCATAGGAAGCCATGAAAGAATGCCACGAAAGAGTACTTGCAAGAATGTATTTATTGTGGATGGGTTACAACAAACTCCAAGGGTGGTGAAACATATGAAAACAACTGGTACAGGGACGAATATGAGGGAGACGGTTAACTTCCATTGAGCTCATTAGCATTCTACAGGCGTGGCATACATAATGCGCATGAACTACTTGCTTTAAGAAATGGAACTGCCTCAATGTAGTCCTTCACCACACGATTTCTTGCTCATATTTCGTGCAACGTGTAAATTATTGATACGTCAAAGAAGACATGGACATTTCTATGGCATTAGTTCTTCCAATAGGTCCAACGTGAACTGCAGAGAGAAGTGATTCATCATGCATTATCCTGTACATTGGTTAATGAATAACGGAAAAGAACTTGATGATCGCTCATGTATTCGCATGCATTTATTCATGGCTCCATTCAGATCACTGATTTTCATGAAAACGTTTCATTCTTAAGAAAAAGCTAATTCAATTTACTCGTTGTTGAGGGACGTTGCCATTGTAGTAAAATTGACCTTAAAGCATGGTGTTGCCGAATTTGTGGATATGTAATTATCTGAACAATATTTCATTGTAGAGGGTTTGTTAAACAACAAAACATTCCCAGAGCTTCTCTCAGAAATGCCTCCCAGAAATTTCGGAAGGAACCCGAAAACGCCTTTGGAGTTTATCCGTATTTTATTAAGGAAGTTATGATGCAATTCAGAATGTCGAAAAATCTAATGGGAAACACGCCGTTTACTGACTAGGTGGTGTTTTTTCTCTCATATTTTTCGTTAAACATGATGTATGAAATCCAAGTGTCACGAATTTCGTATGATTACTTTCGTGTTTTCTGCACGAAATATAAAAATCAAGTGGCTTTGAATGGGCAAAATCTTGGAAAGAATACGATGTTGGTATTGAAGAGTGGCAGTAAGGAGATGAAGAAAATGTGTTCTCGTTTGAGATCCTACTCCTTGCTAATGATGCCTAAAAATACCCAGAGGATGGTGTCACAAAGAGCCCTCAAGTCGACTCTAGTCGTCATAATCGCCCTCAAAGATGTTCATTGCTCGCATTTTTGTCATGCCGTCTTTTCTTATACGTTCAGGAAAACTAGAATGCAAATTGACGCAGAAGGGAGGGGAATATGTGGGAGTGAAGAACAGGAGCATTTCCCGTTTTCCGTGCCTTCCGTGGTTGGAATCGACACACTTCTTGAAGGATCGGATCTATAATGATAGGCCCCCCCCTTTTCCGGATCTCCTCAGTGACACTCACAACTACTGTCGCAACCCCAATGCAAAGCCAGGTGGTCCCTGGTGCTATATTCAGGATTCTGGAGAGTCCGGCATAGAATGGGAATATTGTGATGTGCCTTTTTGTGCATTGGAATATCCAAATATTGCATGTGACTCACGGAACCAGTGCGAATCAGGTAAGTTGTTTCAACGAATATTAAGGAATTCAGCTCCCACTTTTTCTAGTTAATGAATCTGAGATCATAATGCTAGGCTGTGCAGTGGAGTTCCTATTTTTATCTGATTTACTGGTTTGAATTATACATAAACAGGAAATACTCTTTTTGCTAAATTTCATCGAGAATGCTCAATCCTAATTGGTCGTGCTTTCAGGTGATAAATATGGCGTCTCAAGATTACATAGCCCGGTAAACCTTGATGGCAACGAAAGAGGAATTCCTTTCTAATTTGGAATTGCATAAAAGACCAAACAGGTGAAGTAGTGTATTTTTTTAATACTTAAGGTGAAGTTAGTTGGGGTCTCTCTTTTCATCCTTTACTGCTTGCTGCCGCCTCCACGAAAGCTATAGAGGGATAAATTACAGTTTCTCTTCATCTCTAAATCATCTGAGTTAGCTCATTGCCTCTCAAAAAGGTTGGAAAATGGAAAGTCTCCGAAAGTAATAGTTTCACCCATGTGTGGTTTTAGGTTCCCATAACTTTTAATTCTGTGTGGGTGCTGAAAATGTTTCAATCTGGATTGAAAATACTTTAAGAAGATAAGTAAATCCTCGAAATCCCATTTCCAGTGTTGTCAGCGGCTTCCAGAGAAACACTTCCTATATTTGTCCCCATAGAATACCTTGAGAAAACCTATATCTAGCCCTACATATTGGCTTTGGATTTCCTAGATGTGACAATGATACGGCACCATTCAGGTACATCTTCTCAGCTCAAAGCTTCCTTCATCACTAAGAATAGAACTGAACATGCAAAACCTGTATTTTGGCCTAAAGAAACCCTAAAGAAACACTTCAGGCCTTTAGGCCTAAAGTGTTTCTTTAGGCCAAAAGCAAAACTTTTAAGGTACATGAAACATTTAAAATGTCGACCACCTTGAATCAAAATTTCGCGTAATAATTATTGCTTGAGACCACAAGAGCCCCTTTTAAAGACTCAACTGTCATTAGCGTGGACATAAGTATTGTAAAAATTCACGATTTCGATGGCTTCCTTCAGTGGCTTTATTTATGTCATCGTTCCACACGTAACTTTGAAATTAGTCTCATTCTCTTTCGTAGCCTCTATTCTAAACACTAATGTAAAATTCTCGATGATGCTACCACGGGATCGGGATGGGGATCGGATTTTGCGAAAATCTCGTCTCTTGTGCCTCACGCTTGCCCTTCTCGAATCTGTTTGTCATTGGCAAACGCAATTGACATTTTTATGATTAAGTCCAACGTAAATTGCACACACACTAAACTATAAACAATTGCATATGTAATTCCCCGCCGAGACGAAACATTTGCAACTAGAGTTCGGAGATATGGGACTACATCTGAAATTAAAGTTAAATTGGTGAGTTAAGCTGCGGTGAAATTGAGTTCATGACCAGAGTTTGGTCCCTTCGATTTCCTCTCTAGACCTTTGCTTCTTCCCCTTCTTCTTATACATGCTCTTTTACGTAATGCATGAGAAAAATGATTTCTTTTAAGAAGCCAACGAGACTCATGTCTCACCTACCAAGAACATTATAGTGTCGTATACCTCGTATATTATAACAGATGTATATAAAGTTGTTAACATGCAATTAGAGTAGTCCACTTCTTCTGGATTAATTAAAAGTTGAATTAAAGGAACACGGCACCCAAAAAAATTGGAATGACTACAAAAAAAACACTAGATAAATTAGGAAACGTAACGATTTAACTTCCTACTGGCTTCATTTAGCGCAGAGATGATTTATACGACTACTTATGGCCATTGAGTTCTGGAACACCTTTCGGAAATGAAAGTAACGGTGGCAGCATGCACCTCCGATGGATTGAACTGAATGGATTGGATATGTGGACATTCGTTTGGTAGGACCCATGAAACAGGGGCCGGAGACACGTTTACTCTAGTCCAAAACCAAGTTAACACTGTTTCATCATGGAATGCAATTCTATGAACGGATTCGACAGGTAGTGTTGACGCGAAGTAGCTGGAAGTAGGAACATGGAAAAAGACGATTCACTGACATTTTAAAACAAACGGAAATGGAGCAGATGTTATTACATTTTTCTTTTAGCATTAACGCACCTAATACGAGAAATAGCATCTTTAAGCATCGCTCTGTACTGTCACTTACGATTGCGAAATAATGTTTTCCCTTGATTTACAGAGAAAGATGACGTCCTAAGCTTATATCCGGAATGTCGGAAGACAGAAATGGGAAAGGAATATAAGGGCATCAAAAACTGAACGGAAACCGGGAAGAAATGTCTGCCTTGGGGAATTCCAGTATTCAAGAAAGCCTTGGAAAGTATCCTGCTCTCCCACATCTCTGCTGAAGACCGCTTCAAAGAAAAGTTTCGGGATTTGGATACCATGAATTCCTGGACGAATGAGGAAGCAAACTATTGCCGGAATCCAGGGTTTCGAAAACGACCGTGGTGCTTTGTCTCGGATGATCTGAAATGGGAATACTGCCACATCCCGTTCTGTCCTAATCGTAAAGGTTTGCGAAATTGTCACAGGAGATCGTCTAACCCCATATCAACCTTCGAAATCCAAAACCTGGCGAACGAGCTCACGCCGCTTGCAGGCGAATATATAATAATTAACAATGAACTAATTAAAGGATGCATTAGGTCAAATGCTAATACTTTCGATTCCAACTTTAGCTTTTAATTTGATCAATCGCTAAATTAAAACAGAAAATGTTATTCATGGATTCAGATTTTAAGCATTTAAATCCAAACAGTCATGTTAGTTGCATAAATCACTAGCTAACTTGTTACAATCCAATACAAACAAATTCGCTATGCCTGCCCCTTCGGCGCTCCAGTGTCCAGGTTAATGATTCATGCATTAATTTATTTTCAAAGTGGCAAAACGTATTAAAAGTATGTACCTGTGAAAATGCACCTGCACCGAGAGAGAGAACGAAACGATATTTCCTTCGAAATAATTACTCAATTATTTCCAATGTATTTCCTCCTCCACCCTGATCCGCTTGGTCTTTTTGTTATTGCAAAAACATATTTCGAAAAGCTGATGCCGTCCATTACTGTGCCCTGAAGGTATGCACCTCAAAATTTGACTTTTTCCTGAACTTACCTTGACCTCATTTATTAGAGTGCCACGTTTCAGTTTTCTATATCTGTCCAATGCGGTAGGAAAAAAAAATTATTTGAAAACTTTTCAAAACTAAAAGCAGTACATGCATACAAAACTTGAAAATTTTCCTGAACTGTGTGTCTCAATAGGCACGCCCATGCCAAGTTTCAGCTTTCCCTGTCTCTGTTGGACTGAAGTAAATTTGTATCGTTGAAAACATCTCCCCCACAATGAGTGCCCCCAGGACATGTTCCTGCAAAGCCGAATTGATTTGGAACAATGCATCCCAAAAGAAACACGTGTACCAAGTTTCAGATTTCTGCCTTATCTAGAACTTGGGTAGAATTAGCGTCACTCACTCAGTCGCTCACGGTCGTCAGGAATTTGTTTGCCCAAAGGGCAAACAAACTCGCTATGAACGCGCCTTTGGCACGTTTCACTCTACAAGTGATTAATATATTTGAAACATCCCACTTCGATTCTAATAACTGCAAATTGGGTGAAACTCCTTGGATCATTCGGATTTTTTAAACATCAGTTTAAGTTACTCCTGCTTTTGTGAAATGATTTCGAATTTCATATTAGGAACATAAATCAAACAGATTATTCAAAGCCCCAGAACTGTCACTTCAGAGTTCATCCTCAATACTTCTGTAGTCTATAGAAAGACTACAAGAACCTGCTCTGTATGAGCGAAATTATACTACGGAGTTTATTCATTTTCCCCCTAAACAAAGAAACTCTAGTATGGTGGAAAAAAAAATTGAGAACATTTTTGCAACCGAAATATATGCCCTGGGGGTGGGTACGATAAAGTGAAGATTTTCAATAAATTAACATATCACTAACCACGTTCACACTCATTTTTTTCTTTGAATGAAGACAAGATGAAAATACAGGGTGTTTCAAGTTGATGGACCCGATTTGATATCGCTATATCTCTGCAACCACGAACCGCCCATGAATGAAACTCTTACCACTTGAAAGGGTGGGGTATAGAGTTTCAAATGATTACCGCTAGATGCCTCTCCCAGTGCACAAACAGCCCCAAGCCTCAGTCATTCGCAAGATGGCGACCCCGCAACACAGGGTTGTGTTGCGGGGGGTCAACATTCACCACAAACTTTTATTGCTTCTGAATTCAACATGTCCTCAGTTATTGCTGCAACAAGTTTCAGTCTTCTATTTCTTCCCCATGCGATAGGACAAAAAAGTTTTTTGAAAACGTGACCCACAGAAATATGCCCACAGAACACGCAGCTGAAACTCGGTATTTTTTCTTAACTTAGAGTCTCATTAGGTGCGTCCATGTCTAGTTTCAGCTTTCCACGCTCATTTGTTCAACTGCAGCAACAATTTGAATTCATAATATCTTTCCCTTAATGTTTGATCCCAGGGTATTGTCCTCCAAAGCCTGAATATTTCTGAATTCAAGTTTCCAATAATTACTCGTTGTCAAGTTTCACCACCTATCTCTGCCCGATTCAGTAGCAGAATATACTTTTTTTTAAGTCATCCCCCCAGGGATATGCTCCTACGACTTGCATCAGAAAAATGAAATATTTCATGAACAGAGTGTCTTAGTAGGCACGTCCAGGTCAGATTTCAGATTTCCATGTCTCCCCGTTTGACTGAAGCAAATAGATGTCATTGGAAACATCTCCCCAAAAATGGGTGCCCTCAGGTCATGTACCTCTAAAGTCGGATTTTTACTCAACTCTTCATCCCAAACGGTACATGTGTACCAAGTTTCAGATTTGTATGACATCTATAAGATGGTCGTCAGTCACTCACTCACTCAGTCACGATTGGCTATGCTTATATCGGCTAGCGAATTTATTGGCCCTTCGGGCAAAGAAACTCGCTATGAACTAAATAAAATTATCGCTTAACCCTTTCAGGACCATAAGCATTGTGGGACAGCGACCATAACTTTAATGACGTGTTTAGGGTGAAAATGACGTGTAGATTCCAAAAAACTTTGTTTGGAGACTATATCTCCCATAGTTCTCGAGATATCGCGTGGGACAAATATGTCCCACAAAAAAATACAATTTTTTCGAAAAATAATAAACAAATGAGTGTCGAAATGAGAAAATATGTTACAATAAGGACATACGAAGGCAAACCCACAGACAATTTTTTTTTGGCTGCATCGGTTTTTCAAAACAAAAAAATCAAAATTCACATTTCTGGACCCTTTTGGAAAAGATAATTATGCTTAAAAGATAATTTTGTCTGGTGACGACACAAATGACACAAAACCTGCCATAATTTTGAAAGTCCATGACATACTGATTCCTTATTCGCAAAAAGCATCGCCCTAGACTAATTCATTCAAATTTGGGAGGATTTTGAAAAATATGGGACAAATACGTCCCTTGGTCCTGAAAGGGTTAATAAAAGATTAATAATAATTCATTCGAGGTATCCTTTTTTCGATTCTCATAACTACAAATTGGGTAAATCTCCGTTTATCATTATAATTTTTTATCGTGAGTTTTAGCTACTCCTGCTTCTGTGAAGTGATTGTCAATCTGATGTTAGGAATTTGAATCAAGCAGAGATTCTTCATAACCCCATAATTGTAGCGCTTTCCATAGCAAGACTGTAAGAACCACCTTTCTCTAAGCGAAATTGAGCGAGTTTACGTATTCTTCCCACTAAACTAATAAGCTCCAGTATGGCGGTCACACAGTTTACTGGTGGAGCATTGTACCTTTTTTGAAATCACCCTCAATCATCCGGCCAACAACAGCGCCCTCTATCGGGATACAGAAGCATCTTGCGGCAATGAAAAAAACCCACTTAGACTCATGAACTTCTCTGTTCAGTATCCACGGGATCCGACTGTTCCTTGAAAAGTTGAAGCCGAAAAGTTCATTGAATTATAAGACGGTGGAGCACAGGCAATCACCTCAGTTGAGGTGGAATGAAACCTTCAATTCACCACTATTGAAATTATTTTTTTTGCTGCCTGCGTGAAACGGTGGAAACCGTGTACCCTTTTTCCATGGAAAATGGTAGAGCGTTATTTTTTTAAACACCCATATATATAAATCCTACGTTACACTTGACCTAAATCGCTCCTTACCATGCATTCATCGACTCAACATCTCGTCAACATCTATCTGGTTCTTACTTAATAAAAAAGTCAACTGATGTTTTATGACATGACAGAGCCAGTGAACTGCAAGCTGACGGGTCATGGAATGGAGTATGCGGGTAAAACCAACATGACGAAGAATGGGAAGAAGTGTCAACCCTGGCTGAGCCAGACTCCTAACAAGCATTCCATGATCTTTTCTTTGTCCTATTTCCCTGATGATGGCATGGACAGTCGTCACAACTATTGTCGTAATCCAGACATGGATGGCAGTGGGCCCTGGTGTTACACCGAGGAGGACATTGGTCGCCAGAATTGTGACATTCCTTTTTGTTGGGAAATGTATCAGAGATCTGCTGTGAAAGGTATGCATTGAGGTTTCTTCATTTCGATACTAATTCATTATACCACTTCAAGAAAATCCTGAGCATTAGGGTATACCCGGTAGAGAAATAGAAAATCGAACGGAATCCTGATCCCCATTCAAAGCGGCTCTACACGCAGCTCTCAATCTCGATTGTCTTAAGTAATCAGTGAAATGAGATATGGTCGTAGAGAATGCGGAGGACTGGAGTCAACTAGGGTCAGACTGTCAAGAGAATTGGTATTTGTTCAGGCAAACACCTCAAAATCCAGCCTGCTTTTCTTAGGTTCTCTTTTTTTGGGAAAGATAACTTCTGGCACCTACAAGAGACAAATTTTTACATGGGATCGCATGAAGTAAAAAAGAGACCCCATTTGAGAGCAGCTCATGTGAAATAATCTAGATACAACCTTTAATTGTTTTGCATGAAACGATTTTATATCCTCAATGTAGGCAATAAAATAATGAAAGGTCATTAAGTTCCTTTGAGAGCCCCATGAAGCACATTGGAGATTTACTTACATATATTCTGTTCAACCTTTAATTGTTTTGCATGAAACGATTTTATATCCTCAATGTAGGCAATAAAATAATGAAAGGTCATTAAGTTCCTTTGAGAGCCCCATGAAGCACATTGGAGATTTACTTACATATATTCTGTCAGGTTCAGTGGTGGAGGGATATCCAGAATGCCGACAGACTGAAAATGGGAAGGAATACATAGGGACGATGAGAAAGACGGTGACCGGAAGGACTTGTGTCCGTTGGGATTCCACACTCGACGAAGTGAAGCTCAATGCAGACACGGGCAATACTAATGATTTTGAAATGGAACGTCCCTTTATTCACCAGAACTTTTGCAGAAATCCGACATTGCAGGAGCGACCCTGGTGCTTTGTCGCTGACTCAAATATCACATGGGAATTCTGTGACATCCCCCTCTGTCCCAACTATCCCAGTGAGCAGACCCGGACCCACGCATCTTTTCAATGAGTTAAAACTGTTTTTACTTTATTTTGTGACGCACGATTGCTATGCACGTATACTCAGTAATGAAAGACATGCAATAGAAAGGGAAATTTGCATGATCGGGCGCAGTAGGGACACGGATATGCAGCACGGATTCGTTCTTTGCCAATTATAATCATGACAATCCAAGTTAAAGACTCAAAAACCGTATTTTCTATTGGTATTTGCTCACTTTTGGCCCTTACACCGATTTCAAGGATATGTGTATATATCGAGAGGGCCATCCTTAGCCAAACCTAAAAAAAATATATGTGTATATATAAATCCTTCCACGGCAACTGCCTATATTAGAGGAATGAGGGTGAAGAACCACATCCCAGACCTGGGACTCGCCAAATTCTGAAGGACACGGCAGAGGATACCACCATAATGTACTAAAACCTTCAGGAATTCTTGAAATGTTTGATGCTATGGTACAGTGAATGGTCTCCCAGAACATCGCTAGTACGGTAATGCACCAACAATGCACCAACAACCTCACACACCAACGGGTGGGGAAAATGCTGCTGTTGCAAGGCAAGCATTCACGTCATCGCATGAAATTGAGGAGTCCAGTGCTGCTATCCCAGCAGAAACCTGTCCACAAGTTTGGTGCTCTGTTGCTCATTGCTGTCGACAGTGCCTGGAGGCTAACGGTGAAAAATTTGAATATCTGTGGTGGTGAACCATGCTATTCAAACCCTTGCTTCCTCACACTGAACAATGTGCCTCTCTGAATTACATAACATATTTTTGTATATATTTAAGTGTGCTTGAGACGCCCTGTACATATAGGAGAACGTAATGTGATCAGCTTGCAAATTAAGACATCCAACACCAAAAATTAAGACAATGGAATTCAAAAAGAGAAGAAAGAAAAGAAAGCATCATTTGGGATCTGAAAGAATAGCAGGATCCTCAACAGGGGCATGGTCCTACTCAACCCTTCAGTGTAGAAATAACTTTTTCGGAAATCCCACTTGACCCAAGCTAGAAGAATTTGAAAGAGTATAGCTGAAAGGTTGTTGGTTCAAATTAACCACAGTTAAAGTCATTCTCAAAATCACCACAAATGCACACTCTATTAGCTAGAGAAATCTTACGCTCATGCTGCAACAAGGCAACCAGTGCAAAGTGTAAGAATGAATTAACGATGCTCAGGGGAGCGGACAATCTCTAATTGAAAGCGATGAAGAAATTAAGCTCTGGTGGGATCCGTGCCCGAAAGATCTATCCACAATCCATGGCTCGATGAGAAAAGAGTTAAGAAAGTGAAAATTCCACAAAAACTGGGAGAAATCACTAGGAAAATTGAATTTTTTCTGCTATCAGGGGACAGTTAAAACAGTTGGATGTGGTATACGTCCACAGGCTCGGATTGCAACACATCATCCAATTTGCCCAGTGCATTCTCCCAGTTTTTGTGGAATTTTCCCTTTCTCCACTATTTTCTTATCGAGCCATGGGTTGTGAAAAGATCTTTCGGGCACGAATTCTACTATAGTTTAATTTCTTTATAACTCTCTTCTTTTTGAAACCCTTCAGGCTAGGGTGAATGTGATATTTTATTACCCTGGGACACCCTATCAAATGATATATGTCTCATTGAATTCGGTTTCAAGGCCAAAAGCACATAATATAGGAAATCATATTATGTTCATCATACAGCACCCCGTTTTTCCAGAAAATACATTTTGCTTTAAGAAAATTCTCAGCGTAGTGGCTTTATTGCTGTTTTTTAATACATTTAGCCTGTTTCATGTTCAAAGAATGCAAAATTCAGTGTTCCTAAATCATATTAACATGAAACAATTCGAATGAGACAATGATAAAAAGAAACTTGGGGTCAGCTGAAAGATCGATTGGACGGAAGAAGTCTTCATTTATTTTATATACATATATGTTTTATGTTATATACAAAAGGATTCATTTCTTATATATTTGTTAAAGAACGATTTCGTAAATACCACTATGGGTTTTCTTCGTTAGACAAGATGGAATGCAAGTGGACAGTCCAAGGATCGGAATACGCAGGAGAGACAAACGTGTCCGCGTTTGAGGAACCGTGTCTACCTTGGAATGCATTCGGTTTGCAAGAGATGTTCAAACTGAGAGTGTCCCTGAACGTCACAGGAGAGAGTCACAACTATTGCCGCAATTTTGACACTTCGCCCTTGGGGCCATCCTGCATTGTAGATCGAGTCGAGCCCAAACTAAGCTTGTGTGCCATCCCGTTCTGTCCCGTCCCCAACATCAACTGACTCTGTGGTCAAACCTTCAGAGTTACTATGGAGAAGAAACATGACGTTTATTTGAGTGTTGTCTCGTAATGCACATAAAAATCACCTATCCGAAGTGTATGCGCCAAATGTGTCCATTTGAATTGTAAATTTGTTGCAAAGAAAAAGAGGTCTTGTACTGTTATTACAGAATAGAAATTCAATCTCATCGCGGGGACGATTTTTGTTGTCTCTAGTACGATAACGATGGATGTGAATATGTGATGATGGTTTCTACTTTCCATTTCGGATTGAATATTTCATATAGACTTCCATGACTCCTTATCCCCAAACAAAATGGAATGCACTTGGACAGCCGAAAAAATAGAAAAGAAAAACATGTCCGCGTTAGAGGAACCGTGTCCGCCTTACAGTTAATCCGATCTGGACGAGAAACGCTACCCCGAAAACGTCAAACCTAGCAATGGGCAAACCTAATCTTATCTAACCCTTACCTAACACTAATCTATCTCTACTTTTTCTAATTGCTCAGATTATACATCTAATATAAGTTATATAGACGATCGTGACTGACTGACTGACTGACTTACGCTAATTCTAACCATGCTCTAGAGAAGTTAGAAATCTAAAATACGGCACACATGTACCTTTTGGGATGCAGAGTTCAGAAAAAATCCAACTTTGGAGGTACATGCCATGGGGGTACATATTCTTACGGGAAACGCTTTTCTTAAATATATTTTGTGACAGATAAGGATGCCATTCAGAGAATCAGCTGGATGTCCTGGTGTAGTAGTAGCATGTCTGACTGGCAAACTGTAGGTCAGGGTTCAATTCCCGACCTTTCCTAGGCTTTCTTTTGGCTTTTTTTTCTGGAAAATGGGACAGGAAATGTTAACTTCCCTCAGAAGTACCTATTTAATGGCTGAGTACAGGAAAAATCCTACTCTTGAAATGTGTCTCCTAACGCATAGATAATTAGAGGGAAGTATTTCTTAATTTGAAAAGAAAGATATGGAAATGCGATTGTGCGTCGCGGAGGCGGGACGATTTTGCCAAGAATCTCTTTTTTTATATTCATCTGGGCGAGATAAAAGTACTCGGTCCATGAAGATTCTTTTATCTGTGTCCCATTCATCAAATATTGATCTCCTGCCAGACGCAAATCCACCGAGTGTATATAATTACATGACTTACTGACTGACTGACGCTAATTCTAACCATGTTCTAGAAGGGTTAGAAATCTGAAACTTGGTACACAAGTACCTTTTGGGATGCAGAGTTCAGAAAAAATTGTGAAAACATCTCCCATTGATATTCATGCCCCCAGGGTTACCTTTTGGGATGCAGAGTTCAGAAAAAATCCGACTTTGGAGGTACATACCCTGGGGGTACACATTTGTGGGGGAGACGTTTTCCTTATATACAGTATATTAAACGAGGGTCAGTCAACTGAAAACATGACATTGCTTAAAATAGCCTTTTATTATATCTGTTTGAAGGTGATGATTTCTTCATTTTTCTTTATAATCCCCCTGCTTATCAATGCATTTTTGCCAACGTCCTATTAGAACTCTGACGCCCGAGGCAAAAAGGATTTGGGTTACCCCTTTAGCCATGAATGCACTGCTTCCGGCACCTCATTGTCAGACTGAAACTTTCGCCCGCGCAGCGCTTCCTTGAGAGGTCCAAAGAGGTGAAAACCACTAGGGGCTAAGTCCGGGCTGTATGGCAGATGCGGAAGAACTTCAAATCCGAGATCTTTAATGTTTTCTACAGTCTGTCGAGCAGTGTGGAGACGAGCATTGTCGTGGAGAAGAAGTACTCCTTTCTTGAGGAGACCACGACGTTTTGTTCGAACTGCAGGCTTCAGTTCATCTCGCAGCAGCTGTGAGTACGTATCCCTGGTTATGGTAACCCCGCGAGGTTGGTAGTGAGTCACAAGAACGCCATTCATGTCCCAAAAAATGGTCAGCATCAATTTTCTGGCAGATGCGACGAACTTGCATTTCTTGGGGCGAGGAGAGGTCTTGTGCCTCCTTTCCATACTGGCTCGTTTGCTCTCTGGTGTGTGGTAGTCGACCCATGTCTCATCTCCTGTCACAATTCGTGAAAGGAAAGCATCTTCTTCAGCTTCGAAACGGCTCATCAGGGAAACCGCACTGGTTTCGCGCTGGCTCTTCATCTCTTCCGTCAGTAGACGGAACCATAGTAGATCCATCTCGCACACACTTTATTGAATCCCAGCATCTCGTGAACGATATGGTGGGTAGAGCCATGACTTATACCCAGGTTGGCAGCGATTTCATGTAGTGTCATTCGCCGATCCTGTTTCACAAGTTCCTCGGCGCGTGCTACTGTCTCCGTCGTCACTACGGAGTGCGCTTGGCCCGGGCGCGGAGCATCCTTCACAATTATTATTCCGCTTTTAAACTTTTGCACCTACTCTTAGACGTTGCTCCTTGCAATGCAGTGATCACCATACACAGCTTTGAGTCTCTGATGAATTTCATTACCATTAATGCCTTCAGCAGCAAGGAAACGGATTCACAGAACGTATCTCTTCCTTGGTGCAAAGCAACACCTCGGAGGCCATGTTTGAAAGAATCTCATGCTGTAAAAAAAGTGCAGACAGAGAAAAAAAGCTGTACATGCCCCTAGGAAACATGCCGACGAAGAAAACGGCGCATGAAAAAAATACGGTTGCGAAGATGTTTTGGAGAAAAAAAAAATATCTTGTTTTCAGTTGACTGACACTCGTAGATTCTGATGAAAGAGGACACATGAAGAGATATGAAGTTATGCACAGAAGAAATTATTTATTTTTATATATCTCATCCTAAATTTTAATTTTATCCTAGATAATAGAGCGCCCAGAGTATGTATACCCCGGAGCAAAAAAACTCGCGGCGTTATAATGTTATACTAGCGTAATATGTTGGGTTGGAAAGAAAGTCTTGCAACACTCTGCGCAAAATTTTTCAAAATGTTATAACTTTATTGAAATGCAATTTCAGTCTACAATGTAATGACCATTGTTGTCTATGACTTGTTCCCAACGCACGTGTAACTGCCCAGACCTCTGCCCAGACCCTTTGCCCAGATCTCTTGCGCAAAATTTTTCAAAATGTTATAACTTTATTGAAATGCAATTTCAGTCTACAATGTAATGACCATTGTTGTCTATGACTTGTTCCCAACGCACGTGTAACTGCCCAGACCTCTGCCCAGACCCTTTGCCCAGAACTCTGGAGATTGCGAACCGAAGAAACGGCCGACATCATTTTCGAGCCGTGCTCGATCGTCGAAGGCCTTGTCCCACAGGTGATTTTTGAGGGCCCGGAACAAGTGATAGTCGGAAGGGGCCAAGTCCGAAGAATACGCTGGATGGGGTGAAACTTCCCAGCCCAGTTCTGAAATCGTCTGGCGAGTCATCTTCGCAACACGTGGACGAGCGTTGTCATGCAGAAGGAGAACTTTGTCGCGTTTGGGACGCTCTTTTTGAATGACGCCAGCAAACTTCTGAAGTTGAGCAGCGTAGACGACGGCAGTCACGGTGGTACCGGTTGGCAGGAGCTCATAGTACAACATTCCTTTTGAATCCCACCGACAGCAGAGAAGAACCTTCTTTCCAGTAACGATTTCCTTCAGAAGGTCCTTTCTGTGCGGACGAAGGATCAGTGATTCGCAGAAAGTGACACGGCTCAGAGTCGCTGAGCTGATGATGGGCCCATGTCGAGTAAACCTTCCGATAGCCGAGGTCGTTCAGATGGTTGCCGATATCGGTGACTCCGAGTGTAGTCGCCAATTCGCGAGTGGAGGCGTTCGGCTTCGCGTTGATGGCGTTCCGCAGGGCTTCGTCAGAAACTGTTGCAAGACTTTCTTTCCAACCCAATATAATACTGATAATATGTCATACTAGCGAGTTTGTTTGCCCTTCGACCCTTGCCATACATATATTGGCATACATATATTGACTCATGTACGCATCTGCGAAATATCAGGTGAATCTGATGGTCTCTTGAAAAGTTATTGCAAATCGACATAGGGTGGGGACTTTATGATAAGCCTGTGTATTTGGAATCATTTGGAATTTAATACTGGCTCTAATTAATCCCAGTGTGTTGTTCCTGATGTCATACGATGTTGAAAACTAATTTTTATTCATCGCATCCGTGCTATTACGTTTTGAGAAGCTTGTGATGCCAAAGCTGAATTCGTAACCCATTCATGGGTTTTGAAAAAGATTAAACGTTCTGCTTCTGCCTGATTAAGTCCTGTTTTTCAAAATTTTGAACGCTCAGCGAATGCTGAAAGACTTGGGATTGATTTCTTTGGAAATGCAGAATTGCCGGGAAACTCTCTTGAGCTGAATGCGGTTGAGAACATTGGGGTTATCCTGATAGATAACATTGAGACTCTGATGCTTATGGAAAGCAAACTCCATGGTTTCTCCCGAGATGCCTTGCAAAGCAACACCACCAGAGTGCTGAAGGACATGGAAGATGACACGGAACAATTTAACCGTCTAATTTTAACACAGCAAGGTTCACACAAATTATTAGAAGTACATGTTTAGATTCGAAAATGAATGATCTTTCTCATGATGGATGAGTTTTTTCCTTCTCTTATAGTTTAGGCTGTTGGGGGGGGCTATATATGTACAACACCTGGTACTAGACATGAGACAGGGTATTTACTTACCGTTGATGCATCTCTGTTTTTTTTTAAGCAATGTAATTTACCAAGACATATATCAGGCAGGGATAGCAAGGCAGACATTTAAAATCATTGTTTCTTGATTGCATATTGTGCTTGCATATATAAAAGTGAGTTCTGATGAAATTCACCGCTATGAGGTCCGATCCAAAAGTTTCTGCCTTGAGATATGAGGGGACTAGCCCACACCCGCGTCCGTGAGATCCTCTTCGTGGGTGATAGAATTTCAACAGACATGAAGATTTCCAGGTTGGGATGACTTCCGAGGTGGACTACCCACAAAATGGTGCAAAATATATCAC